AATTCAAAGGTCCCAGTTATTTTTATTTTTATTTTTTATTTGACAACAATTTCGAAGAACCTCAGGAGATCCTGATGGTGTTAATTTTTTTTATTTAAAAAATCTCATGGACTCCTGATGGTGTTCTGTTTTTTAAAGAATATAAAGAATCTCAGGGGATCAGGTCGTTTCAATATTTAAATAATTTAAAGAATCTGACGATCTCGGGTCCTTTTATTTTGAAATATGTAATTTTAAAAAATTTCAGGGGCGGTCATATAATTTTTTAAAGTTTTTAAAGAATCTCAGACAGATTTATTTTTTAAAGAATTTAAGAAATCTCAGAGCTCTCGGTCATTTCATTTATGCAAAGAATTTATAGAATCTCAGGAGTCCAGATCTTTTAGTTTTTTTTTTTTTTTAGATTTAAACAACCTCAGGGATCTCTGTTATTTCATTATTTAAAGGATTTTAAGAATCTCAGGGGTTGCGGTCGTTGCATTTTTTTTTTAGAATTAAAAAGTTTCAAGGGCTCCAATGGTCTTATATTTTAAAGAGTTTAAAGAGTCTCGGAGGCCCCGATCATTTATTATTATTTTTTTAATTTAAAGAATCTCGGGCGCTCCGGTCTTTCTTTGTTTAAGAATTTAAAGAGTCTCAGAAGCCCCAGTCGTTTTATTTTAAAGTGATTTTAAAAATCTCAGAGGCTTTTGGTATTTAGTTTAAAGAATCTCAAGAGGTCCCGATGTTTCATTCTTTTGAAAATTTAAGGACTTTTAAAAGGCCCGGTGATTTTATTTTAAAATAAATTTGAACAACCTCAGGAGATCCTGGTGTTTCACTTTTTAAGCAATTTAAAGAATCTCAGAGCCCCACTCGTTTTATTCTGAAATAATTTTAAGAATCTCTGGGGTTCCTGGTGCTTAATTTTTTAAAGAATATAAAGAATCTCAAGGGTTCCGGTCGTTTCAATTTTTAAAGAACTTAAAGAACCTCAAGAGACCTGTTTTATGTTAAAATGTGTAATTTTAAAAGATCCAAAGGCGGTCATTTAATTTTTTAAACTATTTAAAAAATCTCAGGGGTGGTCATTTACTTTTTTAAAGACTTAAAGAATCACAGGGATCTCACTTGTTTCATTATTTAAAAAATTTAAAGATTCTCAGAGCCTCGGTCATTTTATTCCGAAATAACTTTAAAGAATCTCTATATAAATTTAAAGAATCTCAGAAACTTCTGGTGTTTTTTTTTTTTTTTTTTAATTTACAGAATCTCAGGGGCAGTCATTTAATTTTTGAAAGATTTTAAACAATTTCACATCGCTTTATTTTATAGAGAATTTAAGGAATCTCAGAGCTCCCGGTCATTTCATTTATGCAAAAAATTTACAGAATCTTGGGAGTGCCAGTTATTTAATTTTTAAAAGATTTAAAGAACCTCAGGGATCCCAGTTGTTTAATTAAAGATTTTAAAAAATCTCAAGGGTGTCGGTCGTTGCATTTTGTTTTTAAGAATTTAAAGAGTCTCAGGGGCCCCAGTGGTTTTATATTTTAAAGAATTTAAATAATCTCAGGTTCCGGTCGCTTCATTTTTCTAAAGAATTTAAAGAATCGCAGAGGTTCCGGTCCGCTCATTTTTTTAAAGAATTTAAAGAGTCTCAGAGGCCACGACCTTTTTTTTTAATTGAAAGAGTCTCAGTGGCTGCTGGTGCTTAATTTTTTTGAGAATTTAAAGAATCTCAGGGGTTCCAGTCGTTGTATTTTGAAATATGTAATTTTAAAGAATCTCAGGGACCCCTGATATCTTTTTTTTTTTAATTTAAAGAATCTTAGAGCTCGCGGTCATTTAATTTTTTAAAAGATTTAAAATATCTCAGGGATCCCAGTTGTTTCATTATTTAAAGGATTTGAAGAATCTCAAGGGTCCCGATCATTACATTTTTCTTAGGGAATTAAAAAGTCTCAGGGGCCCCAGTGGTTTTATATTTTAAATAATTTAAGAATCTCAGAGGTTCCGGTTGCTTCATTTTTTTAAAGAATTAAAAAAATCTTGGGGGCTCCGGTCCTTCCTTTTTTTGAATTGAAAGTGTCTCACGAGCTCCAGCCTTTTCATATTAAAGTGATTTTAAAAAATTTCAGGAGCCTCTGGTGTTTAATTTAAAAAATCTCAGGAGGTCCTGGTGTTTAATTTTTTTGAGAGTTTAAGGACTTTTAAAGGCCTGGGTCAATTTGTTTTAAAATAATTTTGAAGAACTTCTGGAGATCCTGGTGTTTCATTTTTTAAAGAATATAAAGGATCTCAGGGGCCGTCATTTAATTTTTGAAGATTTTAAAGAATCTCAGATCGTTTTATTTTTTTAAAGAATTTAAGGAATCTCAGAGCTCCCGGTCATTTGATTTATGCAGTGAATTTAAAGAATCTCAGGAGTCTCGGTCATTGAATTTTTTAAAAGATTTAAAGTATCTCAAGGATCTCAAGGGTTCCAATCATTGCATTTTTTTTAAGAATTAAAAAGTCTCAGAAGCCGCAGTGGTTTTATATTTTAAAGAATTTAAGAATCTCAGATGTTCCGGTTGCTTAATTTTTTTTAAGCATTTAAAGAATCTCGAAGGCCCCGACGTTTCATTATTTTTTTTTTTTAGAATTTAAAAAATCTTAGGGGGTCCGGTCCTTCCTTTTTTTGAAGAATTCAAAGAGTCTCACGAACTCCAGTCTTTTTATATTAAAGTTTAAAAAATCTCAGGGGCCCCTGGTGTTAATGTAAAGAATCTCAGGAGATTCCGGTGTTTAATTTTTTAAATAATATAAAGAATTTCAGGGGTACCGCTCGAATCTTTTTTTAAAGAATTTAAAGAATCTCAGGGGCGGTAATTTAATTTTAAAAAATTTTAAAGAATCTCAGATCGTTTTATTTTTTAAAGGATTTATGGAATCTCAGGACCCTCGGTCATTGAATTTTTTAAAAGATTTTAAAGTATCTCAGGAATCCCAGTTGTTTCATTTTTTAAAGAATATAAATAAAGAATCTCAGGAGTCCCGGTCTTTTCATTTTTTAAAGAATATAAAGAATCTCATCAAGAATCTCGGCCGTGTCATTTTTAAAGAATAATAAGAATCTCAGGGGCTCCTGGTAGCTTATTTTTGAAATAATTTAAAGAATCTCAGGGGTCCCAATCGCTTCATTTTTTACAGAATATAAAGAATCTCATGAGCTCCGGTCGTTTCATTTTTTAAAAATATAAATAATCTCAGAGCTTCCGGTTGCTTCCTTTATGTAATGAATTTAAAGAATCTCAGGAGCCCCAGTTGTTTTACTTTAAAGTTATTTTAAAAAATCTCAGAATTTTTTAAGAAATTAAGGACTTTTAAGGGCCCCGATCATTTTATTTTAAAATAATTTTGCAGAACCTCAGGAGATTCTGGTGTTTCAATTTTTTAATGAATTTAAAGCATCTGAAGGCACTGGTCGTTTTATTTTGAAATATGTATCTAATTTTAAAGAATCTCAGGGACTCGTGGTGGTTTATTTTTTTAAGAATTAAAAAATCTCAGGGCTCTCAGTCGTTGTAATTTTTTCTAAGAACTTAAAAAATCGCAGGAACTCCAGTCGTTTTATTTTTTAAAGAATTTCAAGAATCTCAGAAGTTCCGGTCGTTTTATTTTTGAAGAATTGAATGAATCTCAGGGGAGCCAGTCGTTTAATATTTTAAAAAATTTAAAGAATCTCAGAGGTTCCGGTCATTTCATTTTTCTAAAGAATTTAAAGATTTGCAAGATCCTGGCCGTCTCATTTTTTTTTTTAATTTAAGAGTCTCAGGAGCCCCAGTCTACTTAATTTAAACAATCTCAGGAAGTCCCATATTGTTCCTTTTTTTAACAGTTTAAGGAATTTTAAGGGTACTGATCATTTTATTTTAAAAATTTTGAAGCTGCTCAGAATATCCAGATGCTTCACTTTTTTTTTAATTAAAGAATCTCAAGAGATCCCCTGGCCGTGAATAACAACAAAACTTTAAATGCTTGCCAACTTTATGAAATTTTTAAAAGCATTGTATACACATTTGACTACGAGTACTTTTAAAATAAAAATCTTCGATTTCGTTAATTTTCTGCATATTTTTGTTTGTAACTGCGGCAAATTTACTCATAAAAATCATGTACTTAACAACCCTTGTATAAAACAGGGTAAAATTGCATTTATTTTTCACAGCGCAGCTGTCAGCCTCCGTCAAATTATTAATTTCCATCTCCAACCCCTGTTTTTCCAAAAGCTTACCCCCTCCATCAAACCCGGTTATTATTTCTTAAACGGCGGTTAATTACCATAATCCCTATATGAGCGTCATAATCCGTCGCCGGGGGCCGGCAGCCGCCGTTAATTCCGGCTTAGGCCTCAAACTGTCAACACGCCGTCACCGGCAGCCGACACCTGGTGCGTGAGAATCGAGCCCTAATTTCCGAAGAAAGCTCCCAATTTAATTAGAAGAATCTCGGCGAAACCGGTCCTGTGTCGTTAGCGCGGGTAATTGAGGGTCGATGTGGGCGCGATGTGCATCCGCCCCAACGGGCGCATTCACGGCCCGACAAGTGCTGCTCCCGAAAACCCGCGTATGATCTCATAATTGGAAAAGAATTTATTCTTTTATGCGAGCCAGGGGATGCTTTGGGTTTATTTCCTGTTTGCGTAGTAATTGTGGGGTTGTTTGCGTGGATGGAGCGAAAAGCAGGAAAATGTAATTAAATGAAATTTCGGTCCGAGGTAAAGAAACTCGGTTTCTCGTCGACTTTCAAAAGGACTAAGATATGAAGTCGTGAAAGCTCCGTACGCAGCACACATGGTGGCTTCTTGAGGAGTAATTAATGTCTAAACACTCGCGACAACCTCCCGCTTCCTAATCGAGAACTCTTCAGCTTGTTGACATACTCTTGTGCTACTGGTTTAAAATGCGTGCTCGCCATATGGAGAAAGCGCGCGGTGTTTAATTAGCGGATTTTTTCTGATGGCGATTTTGTTGTTGCAGGTGAAAATCTGGTTCCAGAACCACCGGTACAAGTGCAAAAGACAAGCCAAAGAAAAGGCGATGGCCGAACAAAACCAACACAACCAGGTAAGGGGGCTTTCGGTTTCGACGCGGCTTTATGCGGGTAATCCTATAATAACACAAGAGATGTTTACATTTCATCGGGCTGGGAAAAAGGATTTGAAAGAAATTTAATTGGGGCAAATTCGGCTGCATTTTTTCGTCGATACACTTGTCGGGTCGGGTCTGAAGCTGGCTTTAACATCTGTAACCAAATTCTGAAAACTGTCAAAATTTACACGTATTTTAACGCTGAAAAAATTTGAGGATCATTGTTCGCTCATATGAAATTTTCCAATCGAAGCTTTCGAGAGGAGATAAAGTGGTGAAACCGTGGTTTCGTTGAGCACTTCCTATACATTTTTTTCAATTAATTGATTGAATAACAGCATGTTCCGGCGATAAATTTAAATATTCCGGCAGTCTGTGTTTTTAATTTTAAAATCATCATTGTTGCTTTGTTGTGATGCGCGAAAAAAATCAACATTGGAAAAATAATTCTCATTTTTCGAAAGTACGGTCAACTAGATAACAGTGCATTTTTCAAAAAAGTTTTTGTAATCTAGTCTTTCAAATATCCAATAAAATGCTAGTATTTATATTAAAAACAAATATCCGTGATAACATCAAAGAACCGTCAGTAAAAATAAATGGACCCACTAGAGAGTTTTGGACTTTTTTGAAATATTGTAAAAGGGTCTATTCGCAAACGACTAGTTTCATTTTTTCTCGACGTTTTATGACCTCTAGAGCATGAAAAAATAGGTCCCACATTCCTGTTTATCGTCCAGGTCGATTTTTACTTTCCGAGAGTAAGCTAATTATCCCCACCAACAATTTGATGACGTTATCTCCAAAATTTATAATTAATTTTTTTTAATTTTATAAATTAAGATACTCTTGTACTTGTGGTGTGTGAATCCGTGTCAAATTTTCACCCTTGACATCCAGAACATTTAGAAAAAAATTAAAACTGAATAGAATAATTGCAGTATAACTTTCTTTACCCCCTTTTTATTTTCTCAGAGGGCATGGCGTTTACCAAAATCAGTCTTATCTTAGCAAGTACTAGCCCCGCCCACCCACCCTCTATTTTCTCAGAGAGTATGGCATTTGCCAAAATCAGTCTTGTCTGAGTAAGTACTAGCCCCGCCCACCCGCCCCTATCTTCTCAGAGGATATGTCATTTGCCAAAATAAGACTTATCTTAGTAAGTACTAGCAAGTACTACCCTCTGTGGGTGGGGCTAGTACTTGTTAACATAAGTCTTATTTTGGCAAATGACATATTTTCTAATAAAATAGGGGGCGGGTGGGTGGGGCTAGTACTTGGTGAGATAAGACTGATTTTGGCAAATCACATATCTTTTAAGAAAAGAAAGGGTGGGTGGGTGGGGCTAGTACTTGGTAAGAAAAGACTGATTTTGGCAAATCACATATCTTCTAAGAAAAGAGAGGGTGGGTGGGTGGGGCTAGTACCTGATAAGATAAAACTGATTTTGGCAAATGACATATCATCTGAGAAAAGAGGGGGCGGGTGGGCGGGTGACTAGTACTTGGTAAGATAAGACTAATATAGGGGCAAAATCAGTTTTTTACAACATTAGTTGTAAAAACTTGTTAAATTTAAAGGTGTTAAATATGATGAGTTTTTACTTGTGATTTATCATTGCATTCATATTTTTAAATTTGCTTATACAGGTGGCTCAAAAAAATTAATGAATGTGTGAATTTATTTTATTGATTACACAGAGTATTCTGTTTTTAAGTAACATACAACTTAGATTTTTTTACGCAACTCCCTATATATTTATTTACTTTTTTTTTCCTTCCGAGGATTTATAACTACAGTTTATTTTTGAAATTTTGATGCGATGTTGTCATGTTATTCAAATTTTCTTAACATTTTTATTTTTAAACTGTGTCTTACAATATTTTGTGAAACGATAATTAAAAGTAGTCGGTTTGTTGTGGCGTCAATCAAATCAGTTCTAAAACTTAAAAAAAAACCTGATTTTATTATTATTATTATATTATTTTTTTATATAAATACTCTGTATAATTTCATAAAATAAACCTATTGTTACTTTTTGTGAGCCCATTACCCAATGCCCAAAAAGAAATTTCAAGAAAATTAGAATAAACGTGGCAACGTCGCACCAGAATTTCATAACTAAACTGTGGTTGGAAAACCTAAGAACAGATCAATTAAAAGTTGTGTATTACCAACGACTTCAAACTAGAACACTCTCTATAGTTAAAAATAATTTCAGAGTATAATCCTCAAACAACCGTATAATTTTGATTTTTTACTTTTTTTCAAATAATAGTTAATGACACATTGCCTAGTGACTCACCCTGTATTTGTGGTTCATCAGTGTTTATCAGTGTGTTAATATTTTTATCGTTTTTTTTTTCTCCTTTATATGGTTTTTTGTTTCTTAGATTTTCTTTTGCTCGCTTTTCTCATCTTTTTTTTTATTTTTGATTGCTTTTTTGTCGTCTTTTGTGTCGCTTTTTTGACTTCTTTTTCTTTACACCAATTTTTTCGCCTTTTTATTAGCTTTTTGTGACTTTTTAGTTGTTTTTAACCCATTTTTTTATTAGTTGCTGGTTTTCAGTTTTTGTATGGCCTTTTTTGAACTTTCTTGTATCTTTTTTGTTGCTTTTTCATCGCCTGCTTTTGTTACCTATTTCATTTTTTTGTGCCTTTTGCGTTGTTTTTACCCCCTTTTCGTACTAGTTGCTGTTTTTCGTCTTTTTTTTATGGTGTTTTTTTGTGTTTTTTTTTTTTGTAAACTTTTTGCGGCCTTTTTAGTTGCTTTTTCGTCTCCTCCTTTTATCATCAAAATTTTGCATCTAAATCCTATTTAAATTTTATAACATAGTAATATAATTTTTTATTTTTTATTCTCCGAACACCAAAAACACAAAAATTTTTGTTGACACGTTTCGCCAACCACGTGAGCATTATCTATATATTTCTTCCTGAGCGTAAGCAAAGGAAATATTGTGATCTAGTCCATCGGCCGACCCTCTACTTTTATGTTTTTTCGACCTTTCATGACCCCTAGAGGACGAAGAAATAGGTCCCCCATTTCCGTCTGTCTGTCCGTCTGTCCGTCTGTTCATCTGTCTGTTTGCCGTCCCGGATTTTTATTAGACAGATAATCTCCGAAAGTACTTACTGGATCGATCGTTGTGAAGTTTTGTATTTATATTAGGAATAATATCACGTAGATGGTAAAACGCTAACCAAATTTGTCTAATCATCCCCATTAATAACGTAATGACGTCACTTCAAAATTATACATAGTAAATTGTAGTTTATGACTACGAATTGAGTTTTTACCCGAATCTAAAATTTAATTTTGAGAATTTTATTTTTACTTCCTGAGCGTAAGCAAAGAAAGTATTGTAATCGAATCTATCGGGGAAAAATTAGGTCTAGTGGCTTAGTCTGTGTACCGTCTGTTCAGATTTTTATTAGGCACATAATCTCCAAAACTACCGGACTGATTGTATTTTATATGTATGTTAAGAATATCGTCTAGATGGTAAAACTCTAATCAAAATTTGTTTGTTTTATTGAATACAAATTGAAAAATCAATTTTTTTTAATTTTTCGAAGAAGCTGGATTTGGGGCACTTCGGGGGCGAGGACAAACTTTCAACCATTTTTTTTAACTTACAGGGGCTACCATAAAATAAAGAAACTCTCCCAAATCAAATTTTAAAATTTTTCGAAGTAGCTCGATTTCTTGGACTGCTCTTCAGGGGCGAGGGAAGTTCTGTCTAAATAACCTGAGACACTTTTTTTACCTCAGATACAATTAAATTAAATGCTGATGGGTCTCCTATGAAAATTTATTTTTATTCTGAACGCTGAAAATACCATATGCTCGAAAAAAAAGTCCTCTAGTAGGCTATGAAATTTATTTTTAAAATAATAATGTTGGCATTGCAACTGTTTGCCACTTTATTTGACAATTATCTGATCGTAACAGTAATACTCAACAAGGAATGCGTCAGTGGTGCCAACATAATTATTTTAAAATAAATTTCGTGGCATACTAGAAGCCTTTTTTTTTCAGTCCTACGATATGGTGCTACTCTGACATTTTTGAGATATTTTATCAATTATACCTATCTACCAAAAGTAGTCTTAAAAGGTTTTTACGAAGGATTTCGCAACGGTGTTGCCAACTGTTAAAATTCCAACCGATTTCATTACCGGGTGACTATTAATGACTAAAGTAAATTTTTGTGTTGGCAGTTCTGTATAATTGGCAGCAAAGTTCTCATGTCAGCTTACAGTCGTCAATTTCGACACAAGGGCGCGTAAGTAAAAGGTGATGAGAAGACGACAACTATATGCTATAGGTAAAATTTTAAATATGTTGCCAATCTGACGAAAAAAATCACAATTAATAAAATTTAATTCAAATTCAACTAGGTAAAATTTAAGATCAAAAGCACTGTGAAATGTTATTAACAATTTAAAGTAGACCTGAAACGGGACCTACGAGAGCACGAATTTCTCCATACGAAGTCAATGTTTGCCTCTCTTCAGTTGCAAAAAATGCAATTACAGCTCTGCCTCAAGCTAAATTTGATCCACTATTATTTTATAATGAATTTCAATGCAAATAACGGCACTTTTTTACATTTCATGAAAGCTTCCAGTGATGAGCGGGTCAAACATTCATTTGACATGTTAAAAAACAGGATGGCCAAAAACACGTATGACCTTCAAGTGTCAACAACAAAAACTGAATTTGAAGATTTAGAAAACTTATAGATAGATGAATTTAAAAAAAAAGTTGGTTTCATCTTGAATTAGGGTGTAGTAGGGGAAGGTGGGTTAAAATTGACACTAGTAACTACAATTTTGGTGATTACTCTAGTTGTACGCCAACTATTCGTCGCTTTGTGCCTTTCCGGCACCCGATGACCCAAAGTCTCTAAAGAAATATGGCCGCTGCATCAATATTGATCCACCGCACCTGTCCAACATGTACGGTGCTT